AATTATTCTATAATCAGTTGCCTATTATGTCATTAACATACTCCTGTAATTCATACTGCAGTCCTTTTTGCCTGGCTTTCTCGGATATCTCACCTGTTCGCCAAAAATGATGCTTACACTCTCAGAAAAAAAGGTACAAAATTGTACCTTTTAGGGTACAAATGGCCCGTCACTGGGGTGGTACCCTTAAGGGTACAAATTTGTACCTCTATTTAAAGGTACAAAATTGTACCTTCTACATTTGTACCCTTTAAGGGACAATTTTGTACCCCCACCGAAGGTACAAAAATGTACCTTTTTATATTATATAGCATTTTCAGGGTACTGACCCAGGCATTTTGATCCATTGGTGACTGCATGCACAAATAAATAAATAAAACATTTCGGTTCGCAGATGTCCATTTTTATTTATTAATGTAGAAAATATTTCATTACAACTCACAACTGAATGTGTCAAGAAATAAAATTACACAGTAAGTATAAAGCAGACATGTAAAACAGTAAAAAGAACAATTTAGATAACAAATAAAAATTGTTCACTCACTGTACAGTATATAATCTACCCTTAATACAAAGACCACAAGAATACTGTTTAAGATTTATAAACACATTACACAGGCTACATCAAGTACTGCACTTTATAAAGTCCAAAGTATTTGTCTTGAGTCAGAATACTCAGTCATAATAAATAATTTGTCATCAAAATTTTCTCTGTATTTCAGAATGAAGGCAAACTTTCTCTATAAATTGCTTCAACAGTGCAGAAAACCAAAAACATCAGTAGCCTCTTCCTCAACATCAGTAGATTACTCCTCATCATCCTCAAGTGGAGTTGTAATTTGTTGTAACACAATATGTGTTTATGCTTTTGATAAACATGACATGGAAAGCACTCATAACTGGAAAATGTTCTTTGATAGTCATTAGGACCACAAGTTATTTAAAAATTTGCTTTATGCATGAATGATAGCAGTGTGCTGGATTAACTTGATGATTGTGATTATCCCAAGAGCATGTAGAGAAACAAAAAACAAGGTTGATCACTCTGGTAACTGGAGTAGATCGAGGCTTGTCACCGTCCACCGTTCATTCAAAACATTCCACAGCAGAAACATCAAGGTGTTCTTCTAATAAGATGGATATGTCAAAAATGTATATTCGTCCACATCATTAGCCCGGCCAATCGCAATCCCATCAACTCTGAAGACTGCCGTGACTCGTCTTGTTAACACAGTTGTCCAGTCGGAGGCCTCCTCCTGTACTTGAACTGTTGGATGTGGTGAAGATGATTCACTGTAAATGACAAAGCAATAATTACTTTAATATCAGTCACTCTATCACTGATGAAGTGAATGAACCACCAACTTATCCAGCATGTTTTATGCAGCAGATGCCCTCCTAGCTGCAACCCAGTATTATGAAACATCCAGACACACTTATTCACACACACATTTATACACTACAGACAAATAAGCTTACCAAATTTAGCTATAGTGCATGTCTTTGGACTTGTGGGGAAACCGGAGCACTTGGAGGAAATCCTCACGAACACTGGAAGAATATGCAAACTCCTCACACAAATGCCAACTGACCCAGCCGAGGCTCGAACCAGCAACCTTCTTGCTGTAAGGTGACAGCACTACCCACTGCGTCATCCTAATATAAAGAATATCAAGAATTATAAAATGCATTTATAACAGCATATACTGAACAGAAAACAACATACGCACCGGAGCACAACGAAATGTTGAAGTGTCTCGCTTAACAAGGCTGGCAACATGAGAAGTGCTGCTGTAAAATCAATTCCTGGAACATAAGATGTGGCATACAAACAAATATGAAGGAATCCATCTAAAGCTAGAATTTAATAATATTAATCAAGTGGAGAAAGTTTAGAAAGAGTACCTTAGAGTCAGGTCCTTAGAATTCTTCAGTTGATCTCTCATCTTTCGATGAATACCTAGAAAATAATTTTAAACACGTGGGTGTACATTTATTGTTGTTTGTAAGTAAAAACCTACAAATTTAAAATAGTATGTAAGCCATTAAAACCATGGTATAGATAATGAGACATACTTACATCTTGTAACTGAGCCATGCTTTCATATGACATGCCTTCATTGGTCTGATGCTGTTAGGCTGCATTATGTTGTTCAATCTTGTCCTGAAATACAATTGGAAACTTCATAAACTTCTGGAAAGCAATAAGATAAAGCAATAACTATTTATTTATTTTGAGATATTAATAAAATAGGTAAAATAGCTCAAGGTAAGTTACCAGTTTCAGAACAAATAAGACAAATTATTACATTAAAGAACAAAGTATAACTTAAAACGTCGATTTATACAACGTGGTATGTTAATAATTATTCTACATTAACATAAGTATAACGTTAAACAATAGTAAAGCACCAACAATTCTGGACATGAGAGTTTGTGGACACTCCTCAACATTAATGTAACTTAGACACTTAAACGAAGATATGTACAAGCATACACACGCCACGTTTGTAACTAGCCACGTTTAACTTACATAATCAGTTGCTTTGCCGGTGACAAAATTGTGATTTTTCTTCACGAAATGGCGGTGTATATAACCGTCTAAAATTACATTTCCTCGGTCAACCGTGGCTAGAAAATGGCCTCAAATTATAAAACATTATCGATAATTACAAATTCCAGTATTAATAACAAAAGGTTTTATATCAAGGTATATGAAGACTTTAGTCGCGCGAGCTCCGGGCCACACCGCTCATTACTCACGGCCCGATTCCGGTGCACGGTTACGGCAGCGTCGGCTCGCTGCTGCCGCCGCATCTGGCCTGAGTAACGATACAGCAGACGGACTCGGGCAGGCGAGAATCTAGCCGCAACTGGACCGAGTGTATTTTGCTATCTGGGTTGCGATTATATTCCGCCGTGGCAACACTTATTATTAAAGCAGTTAAGTAAGATATAAGGCGCGAATACGTAACGTAGGCGATAAAGGGAGCTTTTACACCGAGAAAACTAACAGCATATAATACTCACCTTCTATAACGTTATGTCCCTCGGTGACTTCGATATCATATTGTATTAACTTCTTTAATAAGCTGCAGACATCTTAGCAAACTCCACCCTGCAGGCCAACGTACACCAGTCAGCCCGGAGCACTTAAAGCGGGGGAAAGCCGAGACCCGAGAGTCAGACAAAATCAACAGAACACGCGGCTTCACATGTAAAAATGAGACTGAAAATATAACTTTAATACATTCTTACCTGAAAAATGGGGACTCCAAAATAGACTTTTCTTTGAAAAGCGTGCGAAGTTCTGTGTAAACAGCCAGCATACTCTACCGACCGCTGCCTCAGTAACAAACACTACTATAACGTCTCAACAAGCCAAATTCTTAAAGAGACAGCAACATCACCACCTGTATGAAGATGCTGTCAATCTGCATGGTTCTTATTCTACATCCCATATACTATAGGGTCTTAAACAGTAAGCAAAGACCAGTATTTACATTTTTTATGATTAAAATTACATTCAATTATAAATTAAATTATTAACGATTTTGAGAATTTTTTTAAATTTAAATACATGAAAAAATTTTAATTATAAAAAATATTTAATTCAATCAATTTATTTATTTATTATATTTATAAATTATGTATTTTAGTATTAATGTTTAGTATTAATGCATTTAAATTAGTGTTATATAGTGTCTTGATCTTATCATGAGCTGAGGGTGCAATTTTGTTCCTATAGGGAAACAAAATATATAATTGTACCTTTAAAGGTTCCAAATTGGTCCTTTACGGTACAATTTTGTATCCAAATGTGCTATAAAAGGTACAAAAATGTACCTTTCAAACCTAAATCTGGACATTTGTACCTTTATAGCCCATTTGAGTACAAAATTGTACCCTAAGGACCAATATGGGACCTTTAAAGGTACAATTATATATTTTGTTCCCTCTAGGAACAAAATTGTACCTTCACTGTACCTTTTTTTCTGAGAGTGTAGCGAAGGGTCAATTGAGCTCAGTTACATTCTGTTTTCATTGATCATTCTTGAGATGCTTCAGCAGCTTGATTGGAATTCACCTGTGGTAAATTCAGTTGACGGGACATGATTTTGAAAAGGCATACACCTGTCTATATAAGGTCCCAGGGTTGACAGTGCATGCCAAAGCACAAACCAAGCATGGAGACAAAGGAATTGTCTGTAGATGTCTGAGACAAGATTGTCTTAAAGCACAAGGCTGGGAAAGGTTACAGAAACATTTAATAACAATGAAATTAATGTGAGAATTTCACACCAATTTCATGTCTGGCGTACGTGCATTTCTTGTGTGTGTTTGTTTTATTTCCATTGGCGACTCCTAGAGTCAATTGAGTTAAATTGCACACAACAAAGTATCTTTGCTGTTATCAAAGTATCCAGCTGTATGGGATGTAATCATCTGCATATCTAGCAGGTATATAAGGTTTCCATACCATGCAGTTGACCAGCCAAATATTAAAATGCAAAGTGCAGTGATCGTTGGTTTTCTCAATGTAATCGGTCAACCGACTGCACGCACATTGCTATAAAGGCACCATCTGAATTTGCATACGTGAATCGGAAACATTTCTATTGAACAAATGTGCAAATAATATGAGACGTTCAAATGCTCAACAAATATTGTATCAAGGTGGCCTTGGTCAACCCATGATTAATTCATCCTCACAAACAGCATGGTTGGTATGAGGCTCCAAGGTGGCAGGCACAACAGGTCAGTTTTGTCAGGGTTCTGCCACTCTGGTCTTGTAAATTCTTGTTTTGATGGCACAGTCTGGACACTAGCTCTGTCTTGTCCTGTTGTGCTCACCTTGAGTTTTTTTTGGGTTGAGCACTTGTTTTCTGTCATTGTGTGTGTCTCTGTGTGCACGCCGTCGTGAGAGCACGCAGACTGTGCAGCTCTTGCTTGATGCGGGCGCACGGGGTCTGTGCGTACTTGGGATGTGCGATCTTGTACTTGTGTTTGTTTTGTTCTGTCCACATCGGGCTGTTTCATTCACAGCGTCTAAGTCTGGTTGTGTCACACCTGTTGTAGTGCCCTCATGTGGATACTTGAGGGCACTAGCATTTGTTTTGTTTTTGCTTGTATCTCTGCACATGTAATCACTTATCGTTTTCAGCTGTTCCTTGTTTGTTTAATTGAGTCTTGTCTTTATAAGCTCTGTTCGTTTGTGTTTCAGTTGCCTTTGGATTTTTCATTTGTACTTTTGTTCCTCGTGATTTGGTTTGTTTGTTTGATTACTTTGTATCATCTCAATGATTTGGATTTCTGCTCGTTTCTTGTCTGCACTGAGTTTTTTGGATCATCGTTGTTTAGTTTAATAAATTTATTTTGCTGCACATGGATCTTTTCTTGTTTTTGTGAAACCCTTTCGTGACATAATCCAAAGGCCACACCAAGATCCAGCAGCAAAATATATTTTTTCCATTTTTTGTCTTTTCTATTTTTGGTTGAAGGATGAGTTTCCAAATTAATCCACCAGCAACCAAAGGGGAGCGGTTGCTTCATTCTTAGGCATTGGCGGCTCAACGGCAGCACGGGTTGGAGGTAGGAGCTTTTGCCCAGGCTTTTTGGACTTTGGCTGTGGGACTGAAATTATGTGACTTTGAACTGATGAGTAGTTTTAATTAATGTCTGGATCAGCCTTTTTCTATTGAGGAGATGGATGAGCTTAAGATCACTCAATTTTGGGACTTTGTTATTCACCTCAAACAAGATGCACTAAAGTTTGATTTTATTCCCAAGATGGTTGTCCCTCCAGAGTCCCCACCTCAAGAAACCATCATCCCAGACTGTGTTTATACAGCCATAGAGTATCTTGACTGTCTTGGTGACATTTTGGCCAGTGTTGAGTCTGAGCTCAAGGTTAATGACTGTTTTTAATCTCAGTCTAAAATTATTTCTTGTCCTGATACTCCAATTGAATTTGTTTTTACCCCAGGACCCCTGTCTAAAATGGCTGAGAACATGGAGGATTTTTTTTCATAAGAATATTACTCCTGAACCAATCTGCAAATTGACCCTTAATTCATATTTATTGCCCAGAATTGTGGTCACCTCACAACCTTTGCCAAAGATGGTTAATAATTCAGAGTTTTTGTCTTGTGTCTCTGCCTATTTCAAGTTTCTGCCTGAGTCTACTGCTAGCCTTTTTGTTCCTGAAACCAGTTTGGAGTCCTCATGCTCTCATATGGGGGAACTTTTGTTTTCTGTTTTTTTCTGATTCTGATTTTTCTGGACTCATTGATCCTGTTTTTTTTTAATATTCTTGAGTCTTCATTTTTAAGTTTTGCACCCCCAGGCACCGGAGAGCCCCCAGCCCTAGAGCGCCCGCCAGTGTTTGCTCCAGCTCCAGAGCGCCCACCAGTGTCTGCTCCAGCCCCAGAGTGCCCGCCAGTGTCCGCTCCAGCCTCAGAGCGCCCGCCAGTGTTGGCTCCAGCCCAAGAGCGCCCGCCAGTGTCGGCTCCAGCCCCAGAGCGCCCACCAGTGTGGGCTCCAGCCCTAGAGCGCCCGCCAGTGTGGGCTCCAGCCCTAGAGCGCCCGCCAGTGTCGGCTTCAGCCCCAGAGCGCCCTCCCCCAAGCGCCGGAGAGCCCTCGCCTCCAAAACAAGCTTATGCTACATGGAGGACTGCAGTCCCATCTTCACCACCAGGGTGGTCATTTAACCAGCATAGGGGACCACCAAACCCACCAGTTGCACCTTGGTGGATCTATGACTGGTTTAAGGGGATTTCCCTCCCTATTGTACTACCATGGTGGATTTCAGTCAGGGGATCATTTCTTCAAGGCTCCTTTGATCACCAGCTCTATGGGCTCTATCTTGGCCTTGTTTTGTTTTGTAAATTGTTTTGTTTGTACTCTCCTAAGTATAGACCTTACCCACCATCCCTCCCCGTGGTCCACCTCCGTTCCACCTCCCTCTTATACAGTTGAGAGTGTCTGGTATCTACTCCCTTTGAGAGGGGGTAATGTCACACCTGTTGTAGTGCCCTCATGTGGATACTTGAGGGCACTAGCATTTGTTTTGTTTTTGCTTGTATCTCTGCACACGTGATCACTTATCATGTTCAGCTGTTCCTTGTTTGTTTCATTGAGTCCAGTCTTTATAAGCTTTGTTCGTTTGTGTTTCAGTTGCCTTTGGATTTTTCATTTGTACTTTTGTTCCTCGTGATTTGGTTTGTTTGTTTGATCTCTTTGTATCATCTCAATGTTTTGGATTTCTGCTCGTTTCCTGTCTGCAATGAGTTTTTTGGATCATCGTTGTTTAGTTTAATAAATTTATTTGGCTGCACATGGATCTTTTCTTGTTTTTGTGAAACCCTCTCACGACAGGTAGCCGCTGGGATGAAACTTGCGTGTTGCTTGTGTGTGAGCGCACGGTAAAGTGTTTTAATTTATCGTGTGCTCGTGTCTTGTGTCTAGGTTTGTTTTGTCCAAGCAAATGGCTCTGTGTTTACTCTGTGGCCATGTGATTCAGTCTTGTCCTTTTTTTGAGTTCTCTCATTGGCTGCGTGTTCTTGTCCCGTTTTATGTGAGCACAGTCTAGTCTAGAGGGTGTTGTCTAGTCCCACCCTCCTTGTTACCCATTATTAGTTTATTAGGTTTACCTATTTTTCTGTTAATTTACTTCTGCTTATATTCTCCTCATGTCTGCTGTCCTGTGCCAGTTCGACGTTGTATGTTGCCTTGTTCCAGTCCAAAGTGTTTCAGTCCTGATCCCTGCCAGCCTTCCCATCCTAGTCTGTTTTGATTGTTTATTTGTTTTATTAATGTTTCCCCCCTCGGGGTTGTCTATTTTGCCTTTTATTTTATTTTATTATAAATAAATAACTATTCACTCTGCACTTGGGTCCTCGGTCCTTTTCCCTAAACCCCAATCATGACAAGTTGTAGAGCGGGCAATTGGGCTGCTGAAATGCCAGTGGTGCTGCCTTGATCAGAGCGGAGGGTGCTACTATACCGCCCTAACATAGTGTTGCTCTAATACATCTGTGTCTCTCACAGACAGGCTCGGATTAAGAATTCAGAGGCCCCAGAGATCTCTTGTAGCCCCCTACCTGACCTTGCTATTTGAAAAGGGTGCCAATGCAGTTTGTAAGGCTCCAGTTGATTTTTGCTGAATTTGGTCTATGAGAGATAAATTTGTATCTGAGAATCTTTGATGAATGGAAAGACAAAACTGGAGTCTGGCACAGCTTGGGGTTAGGTTGGAAAAGACTTGCCTCCAAATCTTCTCCTGTGATCTCTGGTTGCCAGATCAGAAGAACTCTATACATGGCGGCCTTGGTCACTAGCTTTTATAAGGATGGTGTTCTTCCGCCCTTAGAAGAAGAGGCGAACAAATAGAAACTTACCTTGCTAAGAATACTTTTACGATTCTTTGTTCCTAAGTTCAGTGATTTGTATATGCATTCTGGGCAAATGCTGACGAAGAATGTTTAACATTTCTTAAAATGTTAAAATGTCGCAAACGTATTAATAAAAATGTAAACGACCGTTTAGTACACCAAAGTAGCTCTGCAAAGACATCAAACATGAACCATCTATGATCTTGTTTAAATATAGTATTGTCAATTATTAATTATATTATTATTATTACACACAAGATTTATATATGAGCAAGGGACTTGTTGCGAACTCCTGATTACACATAGAAAGAAAATAAAGGATTGCATAAAAAGAAGCATAAGTATAGAGTTGGGTTATATAGAAGCATGACCATGTCTTTGTACAGCAGAACAACACATTCCTTTCCGGGTCGTAAATACCTTTAAAATCAGATTATACACTAACAATTGCTCTTGCTGGATGGAGTTAAATTTAACAAAATAACTATGTGTTTAATCAGCCATGTTTGTTACAGTGGACAGCCTTTTTTAGGTCTCCCCAGAGATACTCAATTAGGTTTAAGCCACAATTATGTTTCTGAGCTATTCAGTCAGTTTCTTTGACCTGATGATTTTTATTAACTGTAATATAGCCAAGTGTGTGGCTTTTCTAATCAATTCCAACCAGTTTAATCAAACATAGCTGTACTCAAATAAAATTGTAGAACCATCTCAAAGATGATTCAGAAGAAATGGTCAGCACCTGAGTTAAATATATGAGTGTCACAGCAAAGGGTCTAAATACTTAGGACCATATGATATTTCAGTTTTTCTATTTTAATAAATCTGCAAAAATGTCAACAATTATGTTTTTGTCAATATGAGGTGCTGTGTGTTGGTGCTTTGTGTGCAAATTAGAATAAACAAGACAACAATATAAATTTTTAAAAAGTATATTCAATATTCGTATGTTTATGCTTAAAAAATGAATGAAAGGTTTTTTGACTGCAAATACGAATATTCATTCATTCATTTTCCTTCAGCTTAGTCCCTTATCATTAGTCGCAACAGCAGATTGAACAGACAACTATTCCGGCATATGTTTGAAGAGCATGTCTCTGGACTGTGGGGGGAACTAAAGCACCCAGAGGAAACCCACGCGAAGATGGGAAGAACATGCAAACTTCATTTTTTGAAGATGCAGCATGTATTAAGATTCTCAGATTATAGCAAGACAATATGAATACTTCTAAAATGAAACTATAATGCAGCACATATACTATCTGCCTGTCTATAAAGTTGTATCCGCAGAAGCACAGATGCTGCTGTTACTCACACTTTGGTTGAACATGTCTGTCTCGTGCCGCAGTGTGGTGTACTGACGCAGATGCTGCTGGATCATCTCTATCCGCTCCACCTCCAGCTTCTCCAGCTCCTACAACCACACAGAACATTGTGGAGAGTCATGTGTCTGAAACATTCACAGAACATCAAAAACATTTAGTTTCCTCATTGTGACCAACATTAATGGCAATAAATGATGTAATACAATTAATGATTAATAGCATAAACCTGTCAAGAAAGCCTTACCATGGGAATGGAGATTAAAGGGATAGTTCACCCCAAATTAAAATTCTGTCATCATTTACCTACCCTCAACTTGCTCGAAACCTTTTTGAGTTCATCTCTTCTCTTGAAATGTAAGATATTCTAAGGAATGCTAAAAAACACCAATAAAATTTATATGAGTTTTTGTTTCTCCATGGCAGTCAACGGCTGTTTTTTTTTTTTTTTTTTTTCAGAATCTTTAAGCATATCATGTTTTGAGAAGAGAAGAACAAAAGAAAGAAATGTTTAGAACCACTTGAGTGTGATTGAATGGAACTATCCCACTAAGACAGGGGTCACTAAACTTGTACTGGAAGACCAGTGTCCTGCAGAAGGTGTATTCCAAATGGGATATATTGCCCTCTGAAGGGCACTTCACAGTGATAATAATGACCAATATAGTACATTTTCATTCCAAACTGAAGTGCTCAAAACTGGCCATTTCAAAGAGCCCTTCAGAATAAAAGATTTTGAAGGGTACAAATGATGGACACTGCAGGCACCCATTAACCTTTGCAGAATAGAGAGGGCGCCGTCTGCAACACTACCCACCACGGTACTCCCTGTCGTAAGTGCAATGACACCCTTGTCTCCCATTTTCACTTTCGGTTGAGAGCGGCATGATCATCGTTTGCCTAGAGTGGCAGTTCAGCTTGCTCCGGCCCTTAACGCACGCCAAAAGGGAAAAAAACTCAGCATTTCCCAAAAGTGTGTGTGTGTGTGTCCTTGGGCGGTCCTATACTGACAGCCATGTGTGTGGATCTTGTCGGAAAATATGGCAAAAAGTCCTACATGATAGTAATACATGATCGCAGTGTTTACTTCAATAATGTCACTAATATATGCATACTCCACTTCTTAATTCTATTTCTGTTTAGTTCAGTTATGACTTTAGTCAGATTAAAGTAATCAAAAAATCACTGTATCGAGTTTATGTATGCCTACAGTTCAAAATTCATGTTTTACTGAATAAACAGTTAGTAAACACAAGTACATTTTACTGAACATATTTTATTTTCATCATAGTAAAACAGTTTCTCAAGCAAGTTGCGATGCATTTTGGAAACCAGAGACGAGCCCCTGGTCTAATGCGCAACCTGGCTTAAGAAACCCGTTCTCAACGACTTATATTTATATTTTTGTCATTATTTGAGTAGCACACCAAATCTGAATGCCTTCGGCAGAATTCATATGAGCCATTTTAATCTAGATTAATCTAGATTCATTCCAAGATTACAGTGAGATTAATCCAGATTAAAAAAAAAATATATATATGCCCACCCATATATATATATATATATGGTTTGTGTATTACATAAACTACCTAAAATCAAAATGAATAAATCTGTCAAAAAAGTGGCAGTTCATTCCGCTGTGGTAACCCCAGATAAATCAGGGACTAAGCAAAAGGGAAAAATTAATTAATGAAATCTGTCAAGTGCATTATACAATAACAATAAAATAGACATTAATTAAATCTTAACAAGCTGTTCTCAATCTCCACACAGAAACGCCAACTGACCCAGCCAAGGCTTGAACCAGCGACCTTCTTGCTGTGATGCGACACACCTACCTACTGTGCTACTAGCTGTTGTCATTTCTGATATTTGGCATTTGGATTTAAAATGTTAACATTGCTAACATTGCAAAGCTTGTTAGATTCAAATAATGTAGTGTAAAACATTGTGAAACATCAATATCTGCATGTGCGTTGTTCATCTATTTCATCACCGTAAACAGGGCAGAGAGGTAGCCCAAGTACACAAAGAAAACAGGCAGTTCCATAGCCATATGGCAAAAAAAATGAAAATAAATAAAAATAAATAAATTCGCCTTGGTGATAGATCTGCTTGTTTTGTGGGTGTTATCTATTGTTCATTCCTTCTACTTGTGTTGGTGATGCATACTGCTTATACCATGACTGTTCATACATATTCAGTTATATGTGGTTTGTTTGTCTTCCTGTTCGTCTGCTTGTTTTGGGGAATTGCATATAAATTATAACTTGTACAGTATAAATTGCTTCACAGATGTCATCCAACTGGGCAGAAATGATTTAAAATAGGTTTAACCTCAGAGACATGTTCACAATACACACAAAACATCCCAAACACTTATTTGCACACCTTATGGAATTTCACTTTAATAAAAAAGTGGGAAAAGATTACTGACTCACTCTTTATATGTCACATCCTACTGTCTCCTTCTCTCTGCATACTAGGTAAAATATTCACAATCGACATCAATAATACAAATGGTCAGTTACGCCAGGTGGCTCTAACTAATGGCTGAGAAAACTATCCTCGTAAACTGAAAATCGAGAAATACCATTCACATTTTATCTTAGAAAAATGTTTTAAGAGAATACCTTTCCGTTGAAACACATCTACTTCCACTCCAAATAATACATTAGAATTAGATCCACCTTAGTTATCTCTTTTAAATCTCCATCAATCATGAATCTTTTGATCCTCTTTGTCTGAAGCTATTCCTATATCAGGGAACATGGGGGTGGGGGAATGAGTGTTTGGGGGTAGGGGGTGGGCTCGATAGGCTCAGGAACAGGTACAAATTGTGTCTAAGATCAATTTAAATTATTATTAGAGTGGGAAGAGGAAGAAAAAAGGGAGACAAATTATTTAATGCTTTTTTATTTCTTGTTTCTTTTGCCATATGTCTGTTTTTATTTCTCCTGTTGTTCTATTTGTTCCATTTTTATGTCTAATTTTTTTTTTACTCTTCATCCCCAGTTGCCTTCGACTCTTCAAATCTAGAAATGTACAAGCTTGCTTTAGGAATGAGGTGTGTGCAAAGTGGTGCCTGATTTCACCAGTTTATCCCCAATTGGCCCAAAAGCATATTAAACGATAACAATTATTTGAATTAAAAAATAAAGGAGGCAAACAAAAGATAACACATACTTAGTAGTTGTAGTTGTGGTAGTTTTTGTAGTGGTAGAAGAAGTAGTTGGGATAGTAGTAGTTGTCGTAGGTGTTTTTATTATTATTGTTACCATTTCGTACAGTCATTATTATTGTCATTACATTATTGTAGTTGTTGTTGTTGTCAATTTTACTACTATCATTGTTGTAATTCCATATCACCTATTTGGTTTTGTTTTAAATGTAATTCCTATCTGTATTATTCACTTCAGTTTTTCATATTTGTGACCTATATTAATATGCTTTCTAATGTTATGCATGTTGTAAGCATGTACACACATACACACACACACACACACACACACACACACACACACACACACACACATGCACAGCCATGCACAGGCTAGAGCCATTGCCCCTTTGCCCTCAATGAGCAGGCGCGGAGGTGCTACTTTCAGCAGGCGCAGTCACAAACCCCCTATACACACACACAAACACACACACAAACACACACACACACACACACACACACACACACACACACACACACGCCTGTATCTGACAGGTTATTTTTTGGCTTTTGTTTTTTCTATCTCTGTTATTTGTTTTTCCCTCTCCATTTGTGCTTATCATTGTTATTTATATATCTCTTTGTATAATAAAAAATAACAATCTAGACAAAAAAAAAGAAATGAGTTAGTAGAAATATTGTTTACAAAATACTTGTTGCCATGAAGAAAAGGACAAAATTACACCTTAAAAATATCATAACTTTAACCTAAATGTCTTTTAAGTGTTGTGAAAATGATTAATAACATTACAAAAAGGTAAATGCTTTACTGTTCCTACTTTTTTAAAAATGTATTGTAAGAACCAAAATTGGAATGTGTTTATTAAAAAATAAAGAAAAAAAAAATCAGGAGAAACAATGTGTTGTTTTATTGTCTGCAATAAAATCACTTAATTCTTTTTTTTTATTTGTGTTTTCCATACAGTCCCATTTTTTTCTGATTTGAAATTGTATGGACATACAAAAAAACATAAACATTAAGAACATATTTTACTCTTTCATAACTGACTATAGACTCCAGGACCCTATGTCAAATTTCTATAGGAATTTGTTTTCTGACTTACTAGATACTACTGATATTCTAACTGTGGGAAATCTCAACATCCATATTAATGACACTAACAATATACAATGGCTTGCATTTACACGATTGTTATAATCACTTAGGATAAAGCAAAATGTTGATTAGTAGATTAGTAAACATAGTAGATTTTGTCACATGGAGCTGATGTCCTTGATCTAGACATTATAGCACAAAGTGAAGATGTAACAGATCACTACTCTACCTAGAATTTGTAAAAGCTGTGTATACTAAATATTAGGCAATATACACCAATATAATGACCTGGCTGAGTTATAATTCTGTCCATAAAAAAAAAATGACATGTAACCTATCTGATCTTGCTTGCTTTTCTCAGTGCATGCGCAAACGCAAATGACCTTGATGTAATAATTAGTAGAATGGATGTTATTTACACTACCATATAAAATACTGTTGCTCTTGTCAAATTTTAGTTTCAGCGTGGTATTGAATTTATAATAAATTTGCTGTTTGCTAGAAAGAATATTATACAACAAATAGAACTGTGTTATATATTATTTTTATATATCATTTACTGCAGCCTTTTTATTTGAAAGCACCTAATAAACATTAAAATAAATGTGAATTTTGAAACACACAATTAAGACTTAAAAAACTGAAAAAGAAGGCCAAGAAAATAAAGTGAATGAAGCAAATAGCGTTGTTGCAGCAGCTGATAGACATCAGATAAAGTATTGTAGTAACATTGTGTAATACTACAAAATTCTTCAGAATTCTTCTAAATGTCTCTTCCACCATCAAACTTGTGAGAGTAAAGACTAGTTTTGTTGTCCAGGATCACATATAATAATAAAAAGTCTCTCATGGATAATTTATCACATGATAAACAAGCCTTGTGAAGAAGATTCATTCATTAGAAAAAATAAATATGTATGGAGGACTAGAGGGAAACATTAAATAATCACCATGCTTGTGGTGACCATCTCCTCAAACCACTTGGACTGAGCCTGATTGTAGAGATCCACACAGCGCATCAGATCATCACCTGCACACACAAAACACACACCTTACAGTCATGCATAGATCATCAAAACCAGAAATATATATTACAGAAATTCTAACTCAAATACTTGGTAGTTTGTTGAAGATAAACTACTTATCTTTCTCATACAGTAATGCCTGTCACATACATGTAATTCTCACAGTTAATTGTGGCTTCTTGATTAATACTTTTAGGCAAAAGCTGGTGCTTGTAACCCAGTGGTGGCAAATATATATTTTGTGTGTAAACAAACAAGGAAAATGTATGTTTCTTTCTCTTCCATATAACTGCTGGAGGGGGAAAAGGTCAATTGTCTTACGTTTAAAATAAATGAAAAACTGACCATATAAACCAATGAAACAAGATCAGACAAAGTTGTTTTCTTTAGCATCTGATTACATACATGTATGCATAATAAACATAAGAAAACTTTTTTAAAAAAATTCCAAAACAACATGTTTGCTGCAATAAAATTAAAGAAATTTTTAATTTAATGCCGTGGCGCAGTAGGTAGTGCTGTCGCTCACAGCAAGAAGGTTGCTGGTTCTAGCCTCGGCTGGGTCAGTTGGCATTAATGTGTAGAGTTTGCATGTTCTCCCTGTGTGGGTGTGGGTTTTCTCCAGGTGCTCCAGTTTCCCCCAACAGTCCTAAGACATGCGGTGCAGGTGAATTGGGTAGGCTAAATTGTCGGTATTGTATGAGAGTGAATGAGTGTGTGTGGATGTTCCCCAGAGATGGGTTGTGGCTAAAAGAGCATCCGCTGCATAAAAACGTGCTGGATAAGTTGGCGGTTCATTCCCCTGTGGTGACCCCGGATTAATAAAGGGACTAAGCTGAAAAGAAAATGAATGAATGAATAAATAAATGATTAAATTATTCAAATTTTGCCAACAACAGTCAAAAATCACATAAAAAAGAGCAGGCAGCAGACAGGCATAAACAAACAAAGCGAGTAAAAACAAGGCAAGGAAAACGCGTTGTAAAGTTCACGATTCACGATTCAGTTTAACAGCTCAACTAGACTCAGCACTGATGTGTGTGTGTGTGTGTGTGTGTGTGTGTGTGTGTGTGTGTGTGTGTGTGTGTGTGTGTGTGTGTGTGTGCGCGCTGTATAAATGTAATAAACCTATGACAATTCTCAAGCTGTGTGTATGCAATCAGTCATGATTGAGTGTGTGTGGTGCATGACTGGATCTTATAGTCAAGGCGGATTTGTACTTTGTTAAAGATCTTCAACTGCTAGATCAATGATAATTATAACAATGAGAAACTAGTCCAACACAAGTGCAGTTTAAGGACATTATCCTGACAGAGGTCTTGTATACTATAACATCTGAGCAATGTCTTTGTGTCTTTATTTTTACAATGTAGATTGTGTCCAATCAGCTTAACATAGAAGTTCTAGTAAACTGAAACTGTGTCAGTTTTGTTTTCAGAGTTGAAGTTCAGTTTAGTTTAGTACAGTGTTGTTTAAATTTCACCGCTGGAAGTTTAAATACTGAAGAGCAATCCATCAATGCGCAGCTCCACAAGTCGTTGTTGAGGAACTATTTGTGTGGAACTAAGTAGGGGCCAAGCAGCGAAGCTGTGAAGGTACCTATTGGGTTTGTTCTGTTTCCTATTGTTCTTCTGCCGCGATTTGAATGGCAGTCTATATGCAAGTTCGCTCGAAAGCAATGAAATTTGGCACATTGAAGGAGAACAACCTTCTTATTAACTACAGCAAATTTGGACCGTCTAACTCAAATTCTCTACTGTCACTAGGGGTGTCACGATTTTGATTTTTAATCGAAATCGATCTAAATTTATGCTCAATTTTGATTATCGAATCAAAAAATAGAATCGTCGATGCTGCCACGCCCCCATGTCACGTTAGCTTGGCTTGCCAAGCGGGAAAAAACAGGCTTGTTGAAGTGCTTGTTAAACTGCAGAAGCAGAAGACCCTTCGACAGAACTTAAACCCTCTCCTCATTCAATGAAGTCGCCGGTGTGTAAGCATTTTGGATTTCCCGTGAGTTATGTTGACAACGTTTGTGTTGTCGACAAAAAACACAGTTTTGCAAGCTCTGCTATGTACGTATTACGAACGGTTCATCCGATAGACAACACCGGCATCGCGATCCTCCGCCCTCCCCCGTTGCAAATCCGCTCGCGAAAAGTACACACTCAGGCCCTGTTTACACTGTCTTTGTTTTTAAATGGCATTTTAGAACGACAACGATTTGACATTCACAGTGGCGTGTAGCATTTCTGAGCAGCCATCCTTCCTCTCTACCTCTGAAAATGCACATCACGTGACCACACAGACACAGACGCACACACAGCCATACGCTCGAGAGAGCAGGTCCAGGCAGTCAAAGGACTGCTACAGTCTTTCACTCACTTGTACTTAGTCATTTTTGCGCACACCTCAGATACTGTTGGCTGGTTCCTGTTGGTTGTGCGTCTTTTTTACCGACGCCATTATAACGACACAGATCACTGCCTATTCACGAGTCCCGCAGAAACAGTGACTGACAGGTGGTAATTATGCGTGTATCTTGCCTTTATTCATTTACTATATGATTTGTTTATGGGTAAAACAAAGACCATGCAGGTCAGGTAGTTTAAACGGTAGGCTACAAATAATTAATTGGTAATTAATTAATTAATTAATCATTCATAATCGAAAATCGAATCGAATCGTGCATTTAGAATCGAAAATGTAATCGAATCGAGGATTTGGAGGATCGTGACACCCTTAACCGCCACGACTTGTCCAATATTGGAATTTTAAAATGCTAATACCTTTTGAACTGTAGACCACAGAATCAAAATTCAAATTTTCGCTGAATTCTTGGCTTATGGGAATTCAATTTAACAAATGTCAAAAATCGTTTTTATCTATTTTTAATTGTTTGTAAAACATACTTTTTCGAACTTGTCCTTGACGGTTTGTCCAATTTCACCAAAATTGGCTCGGACCATTCTTAGACCATTGTGGCAAAAGTTATGGAATTCAAGATGATTACTTAAATTGTTGTTGAATATGTGAAATTAAATTTGTCCAAAGTACACAAAATCATACTTGATGCTATATCTTGGCAACGCTTAACTCTATTTACACAAACTTGCTGTGTATCGTGACAACTATGATCTGAGGTTGCCTGCACAGTCTCGTTGCAGCGCCACCTATTGCCAACAGCTATTTTGGCTTATATCTTTTGAAAGCTATTACCAAATTTTATACAAAACACATTCAGAGAGCCATTCTGAGTCGAATGATATCTAAATTTCCCATATTCGCCGTTTTGTGCGTTGACCATATTGAATTTTAACAAAAAATGCTGTTTTACAAACACATTGAGGTATCAACACAAAAATTGGTATGGATCTTCAACACCATGCCCTGAAGGTGCACTGAAAGTGCCACCTTGTGGTCAAAAGTTATAAAGAAATTTAGAAAATTACTATTAACTTCTGCTACATTGACACTGTCTCTGTTATATTCCTTGGATAATTCTGCAAACATTGATACCACATTTTCCATATTTTGCTAAACTTCCAGTCAGTTATTTTGATTTAATTTGAAAAGCTACTTTTTCAAATTCCTCCTAGGCTGTTGGTCCAATTTTCACCAAATTTAACTAAGATCATCTTCAGAGCATGTTTTGTTTGTTTTGATGCGCGGCGTCAAAACCTTCTCCACCAATCAGATCGGCACTTTTGTTCACGTGCACAAAGCTGTGGAAGATACAGTAAGCAGCACTTGGAGGCGCTTAAGCGCAAAACTGTCAATGCGAGCGCACATTAAAGAAGATGCCCAGGGTGATATGAACGTGGAGCTGCTTATTGCTTTGTGAACAATAATCATTTCTTCATCTATAGAGCTGGAGCTGCTGCTTTAATCATCCATGCTTGTTCGAGTCACCAGTAACTTTATTAACAAACGTGTGAACTTCCTCTCCTCCTCTTCTTCTGTGTTATAAGCGGATGTCAGAAGCTTATAGATGTTAGATGCAGCGCCATCTAACGTCAAAAGAGTGATTTAGCATACTCTTCTGCTTGACGCCAGTGAAAAGCACTTGGGTTTGAACACTGAAAAACGCTGCCGATAAACGCAAACTAAAAATGTCCCGGTGTGTAGGAGCCTTAAGGCTGTATCTCTGCAATGCTTAAAGATATTGACACCAAATTTTAGGTATGTCATTGTCATAGCACAGCCAACAAACCATAAACATATAGGGCTATAAACAATTCATTTTACATTAATAAACATTACATTAATTTGTTTATAGCTTTTGACATCACATGATAATTTTGATAAAATTGCCAAAACTTTCTGTCTGCTATTTTGAATTTGATCAAAAATGTACTTTTTAAACTCTTCCTAGCCCATTAGTCCAATTTTCACTAAATTTGAATCACAGGACCTTCAGACCGTGCTGGCAAAAAAGTTTTCAATTTTGTGTTGGTATTCAATACAGTTGCTGTTCACTGCACATATAAATGTGCTGGTACACAATGGTAAACTGCATCTGAGGCTGTAACTCTGCAATGCTTACACATATTGAAACAAAACTTAATGTGTGTCATTGTCATCTCACACTGACCACATCACATAAATTTGGTAACACTGCCACGTACTGGTAAAAAGCTATAAACCAGTGAATTATTCAAATTCTTATGCTCTTGCTTTCATTTCCAGTTAAATCAACTTCAAATGTATTCAGAACTCATTGCTTCACTTGATCTGCTGCTCTATAGAGCTTGCTGCTCATGGCCTCTGGACTGCTTTGTCATTGGGCCTCTGGATTGATAGGCCCCGCAATTGCTGCTTGCAGCTATAATAATAATAATAATTATTATTATTATTATTATTATTGTCATGATCATTGCTAATATTATTAATATTATTATTATTATTGTTATTATTATCATTATTATTATTATTATTTATACTAAATTTATAACATTATAGTGAATGTTATAAAAATACAGAATGTTTAAGTGACTGAGTATTA